ATATTTCGAGTACTTTTCCAAAAAACCTCAAACTTTCAATGGAATAGTTTTTGCTTCAGGCTATCTCAGCGTTCCTAACAAAAAAAAATTACATTTTGACTCAACTTTTTAACATTGTCACTTTTTGCACAAAAGTGTTTAACTCGCCGAATTGAGGACTTAGTGCAAATTTTTGACTTTCCGCCATATTTCGAGTACTTTTCCGAAAAACTTCAAACTTTCAATGGAATAGTGTTTGTTTCAAAATATCTCACCGTGCCTAATAAAAAAAAAATTAAATTTTGACTCAACTTTTTAACATTGTCACTTTTTGCACAAAAGTGCTTATCACGCCGAGTTGAGCACTTAGTGCAAATTTTTGACTTTCCGCCATATGTATAAGAGACAGCCTTCCGCCATATTTCCAGTACTTTTCCGAAAAACTTCAAACTTTCAATGGAATAGTGTTTGTTTCAGTTATCAACTTGAACATAGAAATTAGTGTATTAAAAAAATGTCTACCCATCAGTTTACAGCGGAAAATGATAAAAACACTTCCAGTCACTGAAAGTGTTTTATTATTTTTATTAAAATTTTTTCGTTTAAAAATCCGGGTACACATTTTTTAAATTCAATAATTTTTATGCACAAGTTAATAATTTGTATGCTAGTGCAATATGATCAAGTTTATTTCAAATTATTTGTTTATGATTTTCTGACATTAGCCTGCAAGGAACACATCTTTAAATGACTCGTGTATATAAAGATAGAATTTTTTTATAATATTGTTAGCATTACATAAATCTTTTTGGCCTAATTGTGTATTTATTTAATGACGAAACATGTTATTATTTAAATACAGGCCATAATAATCTGTCACACTCACAATGATCAATTTACATTTCATTTACCAGTAATATGGCAGTCTCTGGAGATACTGGAAAACCATAATAAAAAAAAACCTTAACCTTAATATCTAGAAGTCTCAAATTCTTAAAATGTTCTCACCTCAGCCTCAATCATGATGAAGCTCAGGGCGATATAGGCCTAGCCATTTTCATAAAATTTATTTATTATTTTTTCCGGGATCTAAAAATCTCAAACATTTCTGCACCAAAGCCATTAATCATAAAAAATTATTCAAATTTTCCATAAATTGTTAGGAAATTATTGCACATCTTAATTTTGTGTTTACATCCAGTTGTTACCATTTTGAAAACGAATAAGTAAGGTAGGGTCTATAACATTTTTGGAGGCTTTACTGCAGTGCATATTCATTGGAACTTGTTTTATACATGGTGTATCTGACTCGTTGTAACAATAGAATTACGGTTGTTTTATTTAATCAGTTTTTAAATACTGTTTTTTTTTAATAGTGTCTCGATGATACGTAACATTCAGTGGCGGATTCAAGAGCAGCCCGGCCGCATTTCCCCATAAAATTCTCACAATATAATAGAAAATATAGTAAGAACTTTATTAATTTCAAAGTCTTAGACAATATTTTTGGCTATCGTGAGTTGATGCCTCTGTTCCCCTTTCGGAATGACAAGCAACTAACATCAGCACATTCAGGCAACATCTTTTAATACTGTATTTTGCTCAATTCCAGATTTTTTATTTCTAATATAAAGTGCACAGAAACCTTTAGCAAAATGTGCTAAATCAATATTAAAATTACTTTAATTATCATTAATTATAACTTTTTGTAAAAATATCAAAATGATGATTAGATTGTTATTGTTGTTAAAACTAAGTCATCTTATTTATTGTGACTTAGTAAGCCATTACAGTACTTCTGATGATGTCAATCTTCAATTTTGTACTTAATTCCAAGTAAGACTAATCTTGAACAGAGCATTAACTTTGACAAAGATACCAGACTGTAAACACTATTGTTAGTTCTATTCATGAAGCAGTACACAGATTTATGCAAATCAGCTGATGTTAACTCGATTGACCCGTTCAAAACCAAACTTGAAGTCATCATTTAGGAAAATCAGTTGACCAGAGATCAAATTTTTAACGCCGATGAGACAGGTCTTTGGTGGCGGCTAATGCCTAATCGTTCGTTGGTTTTACAAAACGAAAAAAATGCGAAAAACTTTAAAAAATCAAAGGACAGGGTAACATCATGGGCTGTGCTAATGCCTCAGGGACGTGCAAATTGCCTCTCTTTTTCATCGACAAATCGAAGCAACCAAGATGCTATAAAAATGAAGACATGTCTCGCTTGTCGGTTACCTATTATAGCCAACATTCGGCATTAATGGATGCTGTAGAACATTTATTAATTTGAAGCACGCCCTCTCGGTGCGTTACCCATCTCATACATGTATGTCGGTCAGTACCTCAATAAACAATCCTAGTAATCTACGAAGTGCCTCAGGCTGGTCATTAACTTACATGGTGTCAGAAGTTGAGGAAAATAATCAACTTTTAGTGGATTCACATATTGATGGTATATTTGTACAGTAAAGTACGATAGTATACATTATTGCTGCCTGGGTACAGCTAGGTTCGTGAGGCAAATGCTATTATTTTATCATTTTGGAGGCATGCACAGCTTAAACCATACTGGGATGCATCGCATGTAAGAGTAAGTGTTTGATCACATCGTAATATGCAAGGACTGGTGGGCTTGTTATCATACTTTTAAGCTTCTAAAAAGATTCCTGCTGATGTGGTTGCCAACACCATTGTGTGTCTTTGTGTAACAACTACCTTAAGGGTGCTGCTACTTCACTAAAGTTCTCTATGAATTTCGAAATATAGTTTGCCATACCAAGAAAACGGCTTAAAGCTTGTGTATCCTTTGGAGCTGGCATCTCGCATATAGCCTGTATCTTCTCAGGATCAGGTTTATACCATTGTCGGTTAGAAGGTGTCCAACATAAGATTAAATTCTTGTCATGCTCGTCTAGATCTTTAACAGTGACCAACAGGACATCCACAATTACGGTATCTCACAAGGATATCCTTCAAAGAGTATTTCCATTGTGTGTTAATACTATTGATACCATATGGCATTCTAAGATACCTGTATCGGCCAAGGGCAGTGTTGAACGTAGTCATCTTTGAAGATTCTTCATCTAATGGTACCTGCAAAATTTTTTTTTTAACATCTAAGACCGTAAATACTGTGGCATTGGCTAAATTTCTAGTTATTTCTTCAATAGTTTTTATTGGTTGATGGGGTCTCTTCAGAGCACCATTTACATCTCTTGGATCTATGCACAATCTAATTTCTTCAGTGTTCTTTTTTCTTGTTGCAACCATTGATGACACCCATGTTATTGCCTCTTCTACAGGAGTGATGACGCCAATTTGTGTCATTCGTTTAAGTTCTTTAATTACTTTGCCCTCCATGAGCTTTGGAACTTTCCTTGGTGGTCTTACCACTGGCGGTACTGAAGGGTCTACAGACATCTTATATTTTATCGGTAACTTGTCTAAATCGTCACCAAAAACATCCGAAAACTCTGTTAGTTCTGGAATATCTTGTGTTACGACATGCACCATGTTATCATTAACGTTTAGCAACTCAAATTTTGGAGAATCTGCTAATCCAATTATGTGAGTGTAATCACAATCAACAACATAGAATTTCAGTTGGTGTTGTTTTCCCGCTGAATCTATCATTAATCGTGCCATTCCCAAAGTAGTTATTGTATTACCACTGTATGCTACCACTGTATTTGGCTTTTCTGATTGGTCTGTGTCATCAGCAGCTTAAATATTTTGCAGAGTATTTAGTGGTATTACATTACACTTGGCTCCAGTGTCTATTCGTAATGTGAGGGGGTGATTGTTGACCATTACAGTCGATTTTATTACATTTTTACTGTCAACTGTATCAATGTTTATGCCTTCTATAACAAAGAATACTTCATTTTGTGCTTCTTCTTCTCAGTCATTTTCTCAACGCCTGTCGTCGATGAGGCCAAAAAAAAAAACCACAGGAGACTGTCTCTAATAAAAGAATTATACAAGTAAAATTGTATTATCATTTATGGGTATGCACCAAATTGCACAATTTAAAACCCAAAAATGAAAGGTTTTTCTATTGTGGGAGGGCCACAACCACCACAGCACCACTCGCCCCCCCCCACCACCTCCCACTCCACGGTTTGCTCCCTCAATTGATTGTTCTCTGAGCCACTTGACAAACTTGACACCTCTGCTTCAAATAACCAAGAACTGCATTTTCAATGGATGCTTCAAATAACCCACAATTGCATTATTCAATGGATGCTTTAAATAACCAACAACTGCATTTTCAATGGATGCTTCATCAGGTAACTCCACAGATACGTATGTCTTTAAGTCTTTCAACAAATTTTTGATTATTATATGCGAAATTGCAGCCTCTATATAGTACTATAGTGTACATGTTTTTCAGATGCAAGCATGGCATTTGATTGCGGAAGTCATTTTACGCTAAATGATGAGCTTGATATTAAGCGTCAGTTGCAGATCTACTTTGTATAAGAGGGAATTCCTTGTCAAGAAAGTTTAGTAATTGTTCTCTTGTCAAGAAAGTTTAGTAATTGTTCTGACAAAGTGTAATGTCTCCTTTTTAAATCATACTGTGTGAATATGTTCTGTCTTTCGTTATTTGCAAATTTTATGTATGGTTCTTTAAACTGCACTTAGTAGTAAACTACCTAGACACTGTAGTACCACTTAGTAACTCTGTTCCTTTATTTTATGAGTATTTGCATAAATTGGTGTATTGCTTCATGAATAGAACTAACAATAGCTTTAACAGTCTGGTATCTTGTCAAAGTTAATGCTCTGTTTAATATTGTGTCTGTGTGCTATAATTTTTTCCCTACTTTTTCTAGGTAACTTTTTTTGATCATTTTTTTTATAAATATAAAATTCTGAAAAAAACAAGATGGAGGAATGAATTAACTTCTAAATTAGTTTACAACTGATTTATTCTAACAAGGAATTGAGCAGTTCTTACGTCAAGTGAAAACTGCAACAATTATATATTTATTGCTAATATTATATTATCTATATAATAATAACACCATTATTTATATTCAATTTCTATACAGGTTGCAGTTCATCACCATGTCTAAATTGTTTACTATGCATGAACTACAAGTGATTGTCCAAACAAACCAGTTTCCATTATTAAACGGATGCTGCAGATAACCAACAATTGCATTTTCC